CAAAGCCTCGCAAGCAATAAACAATGGAATGGCAAATAAGTTCGGAAGTGCAAAAACAACAACGAACAAGCGTTATAGAAAAAGCAGCGTGTGCAACAAAGCGTAACGGGAGCTAAGCCGCGACAAGCGTTTGCAACAAAGCGACAACGGCATTTAAATGCTGCCCCCTAGCAGCAATAATATCGACTTTGCGCGCCACCAACCGTCGGAACAATGCAACAAAAGCAAACACCACTCTGACTCGGGTTGTGTGGTAAAATGACAGCAACGCGACCTTTGCTGGCGACACGTACGCCGCGCCAACACTGCCAATACACTGGTAGTATTGCGCATCGGTGCATTCACGTGTTTGTGTGTGTGAGCGCGCACGCGTTTTTAGCACCAACTCGTTCGCACTAATATCGCGCAAATACCCGCACGCAAATTGCACTACTTTGGTGGCAATTGCAAATGCACGCGAACATGCGCGGATGGTTGCACAACGGCAGCAACAACAGCTGTGATGCTGCTGCCAGCGATTCATTCGTTTGTTAAATTCGGAATGTCGGCAAATTTGTCGCCAGCGGCTGCCAACATGCCACGTGCAACGCGCGCTAACGCCGCACCGCGTCACGCCGTGCAATTCCAAAGTGCCAGGTGGAATAGTGCAAATGCAACACCCACACACACACATACACATACACTGTTATATCAGTTGTTTGTGCTCGAGCGCGAGCTTAACGAATTCGACATCAGGCTACAATTTACTTTAATGAAGCCTTGCTTGCTCACACCGCGTTCACGTTGGCTGGTGGGGTGACGGCGCTAAAACATTGCTCGATGCAAATGAGTGACAAATGCAGGCACACACACACCGACACACGTGTAGACACTGCCATTGCTACTGCCATAGCCAACTGAATCTATTTACAAATGTTTAGTTTTTTTTTTGTTTTTGTAATTTTGTCTATTTGTTTTGTGGCTGAAAGGTTCAATGGAGTCGGTTACGTGGCAATTACCCTGCTGTCGGTTTCGTTTTGATAATAAATTTACCTCGTTTCGGTTTAACCTTGGTCCATTAATTTGCCACTGCAGCGAGTTGGCTTAGTAATGAGCAGGGCACATACACAAAAGTGCATAGGTGTGCGTAGTATTTCTCCATTTCCGCACAAATACAAGCATTTCGAGTCATTTGTTGAGAGGCAGATTAAATTAGAACATTTTTTTCCTTAAAATGCAATAATTTGGAAAAGACAAGCATTAAATACCTTTCAAAATAGTAAATAATACGAAAGACACTGACTTCATATAATAATATGCGGAAAAGCTTTAACAAACGGAAGCTCGAGTTCCCTTTGGGCTTTGGTCTTTGAGCTTTGAACCAGACATCACATAAAAGATCAAGTGCAATGATAGTCCTCTAAATAATCAACGTAGATCAAATTGTGGAGAAAGCATTACTCAGCAATGTCACCGTGCCGGAAGAAAGTCCGCTAATTCTTAAAACTACATTCCCTATAACTAAGGAACTTCAAGCAGTAGCAAAAAAGTTTAAAAATAATAAAGTCGTAATCTGTTCTCCACTGGAAAACTCACAAGTACTTAGTCTCAGCGCACTGATGCATCCTTCTCGTCCTGTGCATAGCTCACACTCGAAGATCATGCTCCGATGTATTAACAAAAGTTCTGAGCTCTTTGAGGTCACTTAACGATCCACATTCATATAATCGATCGGATCAGATTCAAAAACCGTTTAGAAGGCACCGAAAACCCATGCGATATCTTTCTTTATACCATATACATATCTACGTAAAGCCGTGTTTAATGAGACAGCTCGGAAATCGAGAGGTTGTACCAACCGAGGCGCAGAACTGCCTTTAATCTGGCGAGAATGGCCGAACTAAGGTCCGTACGAGATCAGATTAAAAAACACTCTCAAATAGACTTCAAAACAGCTGGAAAATTTGGTTTAGAAAAACAAAAAGACTTGAAATATTCGAATAGGAGTTCATCAAGTCGCATACTGGAGATCAGTAAATTTATTTTAGGTGTCTAAATTTTCACCTCATAAGAATATACGTATTGACGCTATTCCACTCATTTGTGGTCTGATACAAGGCTTCAGCCGCTTTCGTGTTGACTTCAAAAATTTTGCCTACAACTCACAAAAGAGTGACAGGAGTTCAGTCATCTGCAGTTTGCTGTTGGTCAGCTAGATATTCCATATATGTCGTTTCGGAATTTAGAGCTTTTAGGAGCTACACTCTGTACTTATTGTACAATATGTCGGAGGACTCCACATAAACATTAAACTTTGTCATCTCTTTATTGTTTACCCTTAAATTGTAACGCATTTTTCTCTTTTTTGTGGTTAAGTTGTAGGTTAGTACTTTCTCTACCGTCTTTCCCTTCCCGTTGTAAATTCAATACTTGTCTAACACAAAAGTTTTCACCGAAAGGTCACTAAAAGTTTCCTAGCAAATCATAACACATACTCGTACTCGTTTTCTATTCCGTCGGGCAGCACGTGTATGAGATATTCGCTTGGAGAATAGACTTGCGACAACGTTATCATAGTAGTACAATTTATGCCAAATGTTTAATTCAAAAATCACAACTTCATCAATAATGCGAGGGCGATTGAAATGAGAAATTAGAAAGTAAAAAACAAAATGAAAAACGCTTTAAAACACTGACCGCAGCAAGAAATCGAAGAGCGCATTGGTTATGGTTTATAACGAATTTATAATTTATGAGCTCTCCATGGGTGTGAGTCAAATAAAATGCTTTGTACCACATCACCACTTCCAGCCAATTGAGTTTTGCAATTCCACACCAATGCATCTGCCGTCATTGTCCACCCCAATCCCTTTTGACTGGCGGCACCGCACAGATTTGCTAATAAATGTATGTGAATACAAGTGCTGAGTTTTCTTCTATTTTCATTGTACCTTGGGACGTGTGCGCCCTTTTATTCGATTTTATTTTCATCTGCTTTCATTAAAATTCAATAATTTTGCCATTTGCTTTAACGCTCGAATTAATTTCCCACAAAATGTAGTAATTTGATCGAAAATTACATGTGAGTTATATGCGTTTGTGGTACGACTGGTGAGACAACAGGTGAAGGCAAATAATTTTTCGCTGAGAGATTACAATGTGAAGAAGTCTTTTATATCTATTTTCCGACTCGAAAAGGTGTCCTATGGAAACTAGTGTTACTGAAACCTTCAGCCCATTCGTATGGTATTGCCTGACCCTCTCGGCAGATGTGGTCATTATCCATACTATCTATCAATTTAAAAAGACGCGTTCTGACAGTTTCTATCAAATATCGGAACGGCAACACAGTGTATAACCAAAAAGACGTGGCATTCGGATGCAGATGTGTCTAGATAAAGTAATGCTTCTATAACAATGATATAACGTGATCTTCAAGAAATTCAGCATAGCTTATTGTCTTAGACACTGGTGCAAACTCCGGTGATATCATTCAGATCGGATCATTATAGCATCTAGCTGCCATACAAACTGATCGATCAAAATCAAGTTCTTGAAAGGAATCTTTAATAATAATAATGTTATTTGTGAAGGCTTTAGCGTTGGTGCAACCAAAGTTTCTTCTTTCGTTTTTTCTTGTTCTCAACTCAGCTTGTGAATTACTCATTTTTCAGGCAATCTTTCGAAAGTTTTCCAAAATACAACCATTACATATCTCTGGGCTCCTTTATAGGAGTACCATTATTTCTGAAGGTGTGTTCGACATCAAAACCACTTGAAAATTTTATCTGACAATATACGCTTAACAATCAGCTGGCTTCGTCTAAAATCCATTAGCCATCATACCTGTGTCTTAAAACCTGCGGGAATTTCCTTGGTGTGCTAAAATTAAGCCAAACAAAACATAACAAATAGAAGAAGAAATTCAACTAATAATTATTTCTATCACCTTCCTTTGTATTATCTAAGAAAAATGGCTGAAAATAACACTCTAAATTCCATCCTACACACACAGATAAATGTATACATATGTATATATGTATGTATATTCAAGTCGAGCAAAATAACCCTTAGCCACACCCTCCGTTTTAAATTTAAATATTCACCTACATCTACATCAAGCTAATTCTTATTCATCCGCAGAAGTTCTCTCAGAAACATACACACACAAAAGCACATTCTTACCATTCTTAACATCCTTTAAGGAAGATAAGCATAAAGAGCATAGTCAGTTTGGCAATAAAAACGCGAAATGTTTATTAACCGTGTTAGACACATAAAAAGAATTACAACGAATAAAATGATATGTGAATTTTTATTACACTAATTGTGTGAAGATAAAAAGTTATGAAATGCTTACCAAGCAAACAGGAAGCGCTCACATCATACAGGATACTTTAGTGTGGTGCTTCCAGAGAGAAAGCGGAGAAGTTTTAAATCATAAGAGGGTTTTTAAAGAAGTGTGTATGAAAAATTAGATAAAAGCTTGAGAGTGCTTTTGGAAAACGCGATAGGATGTTGTACTTTTCCAAGAACTTTAACTCAAACTTTTTTGTCATTTTTGTGGTATCGAAGATTATATTAGCTATTCGCCATCATTTGGGACCATTAAAAACGGCTATCGTTTTGGATCAACCCTAAGACGCAATTCGGATTTTCTTATATTTAATGTGAAAGCTCAGCGAAGCGTTGTATAACTGATTTTCAAAGAGCAGATTTTGCCTTACTGAACATTTTCAATTTCTTTTGATCATTTATATACTGCTTCCGGGAGTAAACGAAAATGTTTAAGACAAAAAGATCCATCTTTTAAAACTCTGAAAAGCATTATTCTATGATTTTTTAGGTTTCGAGGCTTCGGTATCAGCTCAGAGTGTAACCGGTATAGCTTAGATTATATTGCCTGAGCTTCTATAAAGCTCAATTTTATTATATTATGTTTGGCAGCTCCAAAAAAGTTTCGAAGACTGGATATAGTTGTCAGTTTTTGCTTTTGAATTTTCTAATTAATTGAAGTTTCGTCTATATATAAATGTACAAAAACAAACTATTTCTTATTGACGACATTAAAATTTTATTGCCTGAACTTTTATCAAGAAAATAATAAATAAAATATACAAATATCGATCTCAGCTTTAAATTTAACAAATTTTGATTTCCCTACCGCAAAATGTCCGTTAAAAAGTGCGAAGGTGGTCAAATAAATTTTCTCTCGGAACGCCTCAACATACCGCTTTTATTAGCCACACGTGAGTGCAAGCGAAACTACAAATTAGGCTAAGCACATAGTGAAAGAAAGTGCAAAGCAGCGATGAAGGCAAAATAATCGGCAAAAACTGGAAGACACTATTTAAGTCGCACAAGTTTCTAGAAAATTAAAAACAACTACTTTTTAACATAGCCGAGGCCTTGCTCTTCACTCCATTGCATGCTTAGCCTAAATTGCCTTGATCTAAATAAGCTTGATTCAACTTTACAGGCAACAGCTTTAAGCATGAACGCGTTATATCCAAATATATTAACAGTAAACATAAATTCTATACAATGGACTGCATTTTAGGTAATCCTATATATTATGCTATATAGCTATATTTCAAAAATGCCAGATTTTCAGTTTAAATTTTGCTTTCACAGAGAAAGGCGTCGAAACGCGTTCGAAAGAGCGCGCGCGTAAACTCTTAGGTGAATATCCTGAAAGCACTGGAGCATGCGCTAGCCGACGCATGGCTAATACCACACGTGCTGTATCCGATTTCAGAACCTTCCACCTGCCACCAAATATTTATAATACCTCTAAGGAACCATATGCAAGTCGTCGTGGTTTGGGTGGCGCATATTGGAGAAAGTTGAAGAAGGAATATCAAACTGATTTCCAGGAATATAATAAATACACAGCACCGAAGAAGACAAGAGATAAGTGGAAATTGTATAACGTTTTGAAATTAACGGACCGCTTCAACTTGCCACATAACAAGCATAAAGGAGTTTTTGTAAGCAGTAAGTGTGACGCTGTGCGGAATTAACAGAAAGTTAGAATAAGTTATTTTGGCTCATGCCCAAAGCGCTTTTCTATAAATCGTGTAAACTAATATTACTGTAAACTCATATCTGAATAATCAGCTTTCTTGATGACTATTTATTATAGTCAATAGATAGGCATGATTCCTCAAATGTCTATCTTCTATAGATATATACTGCGCGAAATACTGAGTACTTAGCAGCTTAATTGAGAGAGATTTAATGGAAACTCTTATATCTGAATAATTAGTTTTATAGTAGCATTATAATCAGCCGATCTTTTCATTTGTCATTGTCGCTTTTCTTTAAATATATTATAATTAAGTTTTTCACTGAATTGTATGTTCTTAAAAGTTTAATCAAAAAAGTTCTCTTGGAAAACATTGTTTTCGAAAAAAACGGTTGCATGAGAGCTATGTGATATAATCATTCAATCTTAGTAAAACTCACTAACAAATTTTGTTAAATTACTACCAAATACTTCATTAAATTTCATATTGTTAGCTACCACGGTTTAGGAGATATAACGCAAAATCGCGTTTTTGAACAGTCGGTTGTATGGCAGATATACGCTAAAGTCAACCTGCTTTGTTAATTTTTGTTGTCCAATATCTGCTCATAAATGGTGAAGCTTTCACAAAGTTTTGTGTTCTTAGCTTTTCAACTATAGATTTTACAGGTTAAAATCTTGTTTTTGAACAGTCGAATATATGGCGACCATATCTAATCGTCATCTGATTTGTATGATTTTTTTCATACATATTCAACTTGAGACAGTTATAGATTCAACGCAGTTTCATGTTGTTAGCTGCTTGATTATAAAAGTTATAGCACAAAATCTGGTTTTCGAACTTTTTTATATGACATATAGATACATGTTCTAATCGTCCGATCTGATCGGTTTGCACAAAAGATAAACAAATAATTAAGATACACATGTGTATCAAGTTTAAGTTTGATAATCTTAAAAAGTATTCAACTCTCCCACACAGATGCCCGCCTGCGTCCCGCCACCACACGCTGCATGGTAACCGATCCAGTGTTGGTAAAACGCCTACCCACAGAACCGTCACCGGCGCAATATAACGTAGTAAGGCACACGATCAAATATAATATGTATGTATGCATTATTGTAAAATATATTAAGTAATTGTGTTATAAACACCCACACCCACACCTCACAATACAGGTCTAAGCCAGTACACACGCCAAAACAGAATCCACATTTGTTTCTACGGAACTCCTGCATACCCGAAAAATTGCCAGGCATAATACGTCGTCACTTGAGCTTCGAACCAGGAGTGGGGCGCTATGAGGTGCGCTTCCCGAAACATTGCGCTTGTGGCAAGAAAATCTTCACACCAGGTCTGCCGTTAATCATTGATCGTGAGAAACGCAAGAAATTTCGTCGTATACCATATAAGAAAATCAAGTCTCATTTGTACTGCGCACCGGATTTTACGCATGTCATCGGTCATGGGCACACGTATGTCTTTCGTTTGCCGGGTTCTAAGAAGCATCAACCCAAACCATTGGATAAGTCGCTAAAGCGATTGTTTTCTCCACGCGCAGCACAACAATTTCACGATTATAGATATATAAATATGATATTAGCGCCGCGCCGTAGACGCTTATCCTACTTTCCGTCATATATAAATCTCTATCGTGAGCAAAAAGTGCGCTTCAATTGCATTGTAAAGGTGATTGTAATACGTCGCCCATTGAGTAAGGGCAAGAAACTGGGTTTCGGTGGCACCGCCAAACGTTTCTCATACGTCGATTATCACTCAACTGTACTCACAGCCGCGCAGGCACGTCAGATTAAAGAATCTTTACCCGTCGAACGTCAGCTGCAGGATTATCCTACAACACGCACACCTTTGACGGAGATCAAACCGCGCCTTTTGGAGTGGTATACAGAGCAAAAGAAAGTAATCCGTCCGATTTTTGAACGTAAGGGGCCTGCTAAGTTACTACAGCTACCGCAGCCAAAATTGCTAGTCACCGAAAAGGATTTGCTACCCGATTTAAAACCTGGTGTCGCATATAGACCGCCGGTGTTGTATAACAAACCAATCGATATCCATGAATTCTTCAAAACAGCGACGACTACAGATCAAGAGACTGTAGATGAAAACTGAAGTGCGTTCGATGTTAATATGATGTAGCGTTCATAAATTTTTTGCGAAAATGCAAATAAATATATTTCTCGAGCTTTAAATATAGCAACAACTGTCTTTATTACTTAATTGAAATACGTGAACAGCCAGAATTAGTTCTAAGCACCGAGAACATGCTCCAAGTTCTCAATTTAAGAAAGCTAATACCGTGGACGTATGTATTCTTCATTCTAAAAATAATCACTATTGAGACCTCTTTCTTGGGACTGCAAAAGTTTTTGAGTAACTTTGTTGAAAGATATTATATATCGAGTATATCAGCTTTTTAAAAAAGCTCCCTGTATTTTGAGTATAGCACGACATGTATCAAATACTCGTAAGTTTTTGGTATTCGAAACTTTATTCCCTAGCAAATAGGTAATTAAAGGACCTGTGAGAAAACCTCCATATTTTGAGTGATTAGGTTTGGTATTACTGATCACTGTTCTCTTCTAGACCGCCAAAGCGCATATAAGTAAAAATTAGTGTTCTTAGAAAAATATAGCTCAAAGCTCAGCAAAATCTTCAGTAATGACGACCTGCATATAACTACATATAAACCCAAAAATTGTTTAAATATAATGGAACGGCACTTTATAAAGACATTCGATTCGAAATCCAGTGATATCAGTAACCTTAAGAACTCTGAGACCTACGTCGGAGAACAAAATTTGAGAGATTCCAAAAGAAATTAATATGCTCAGGGTACAAGAACTATTAGACTAGACTAGGATAGATATACTATATATTTTCTCTGGTAGATATTATTTACTAAGATGAGAGCTTCATTAGCTAAAAACATACAGAGTCCTACTCTTGTAATTCTTAAATCACAAAGTGAGAGACTTTGATTCCATCGCGAGCTATTGTTATAGAGTTTTTCAGGTCTATAAATTCTTTATATTTACTAAACTAGATATACTAAATGAAAAATGTATAAGACTTTCTCTCTTGTATAAAACTAAGGCACACATAACCCCAATCAATTACAAAAGTAAATTTGCCGATATACTTCCTGTGCTCTGCTACGTATTCTAAAGAAGCTTGAGTTCATATTTCATATACCATTATTACACTTTATGTGTGCAACTTTGTATGTACATATGTAATTTTATTTATTAACCCAACCATGATATATAAACCGAGCAGCGTAACCATAAACTTCGAGAAACAATTTTACACATTTCAGTCACTTTTAGAATGTACTATATTAGAGCGTAAGAGACGATGCAAGTTCATATGAGCGTGATGAAGATGTTGAACGTGCTGCCTGTCGACTGCAAATTGCATTGCCTGCACTAAATCTTCGATTAACTGCAAATAAATATTTGCAAGCATACCCATACGAAGAAATTTCAACGATTGGTTGTTTGGAAAGTAAAAAGCTTCAAGGCAATTATGTTGCGCTCTCTTGGTTGGAGTCAGCGAGCTTGTGTATTTACAGTAAAAAATTATTGCTATAGTAACTATTTTATGGGCAGGCGAATATTTATTGTTGTTGGATTAAAGAGCTTAAGTCGAATAAAGGATATTGGAGACATACAATACCGTCAAAAATTTCATAATATCGGCAGTTTTGTTATAAAAATAAAGGAGTCGGAGTTTAGATTTGATGATTCCAACCTGTGTGATCATATATTCTGCAGTTGAGCAATAAAGTAACCGAAGCAATTATCTCAAGCTTAGTAATGGACGATAAATAAAGACGAACGATTACTCTTTCTAGTGGAATTATCACGGTGTGAGTTCTTGCTACGCTTTATAAATTGATTTAATTTCCAGACTGAATAGGAGGTGTATAGAGACGACGACTCTAAAGACTAAAGCGACCGAGAAGCTCAAATGACCCCATAGACTACATATGAAATCTAACAATGAACGTAATAACAGTGTGTGCCAAGCCACAACTTTGGTATCAATGTTGGTAAGTTACTAGGCACGTTTCCAAGTCTCAACTAGAATACTTCTTTGATTTGAATATTCAAAGAAGTCATAATACAACACGTTGTTTATTTGAAAAACCAGCCATCATGAGGTTAAACAATGAGTTTGGAGCTCTGTACAGAGCTCAGTAAGTACCCTTCCTAAAAATGTTTACGACGCAAGATAGTTCAATCATTAACTCGAAGAATATAAAAGTCTACAGTCATCCGAGATCAGAGAGAATTTTTTTTTCTAGCACGTTATTGAATGGAACGATCATGATCGACCCTTCAATGAATTCGGTGCACGTTGCCAGTTCGAATGGACGTTTTAGAAAATTTGGATCGTCGAATCATTCAAAAAAAGTTGCATTAAAATACGTAGAAATTAAGGAGAGGTATCAGTTACATTTTTACCTCTAAAAAAAAGAGACTAAGAGTTGATATCGCCACTACATATATTGTTGTGTGGTTCTGATTTATTTTAGTAACTTTCGGGTATTAATACCCTTTATAGGGCAAACAAACCAGAAGGTGGGTCACAAATAACAACTGATGATATACATACCTACTCAAGTAAGAGAGCGAGCAACCACTTCCCTTCTATTAAAATTTGGTTAAGAAAGTAGCATACAATACAAAACGTCGTTTTAACTGTAGAATTAATCTTAGTATAAATTTTATAGAAATAAACAATTAAATAAATTTTTATTTTTTGCAGGGCCTTGCAATAGTAGAATAATATACAATAGTAATATAGTACAAGATAATATAATATTAGTAATATAGAGAGAGGCAGAAGTTATTTTTCTTAGTATATATACAGACTTTTCGGAATCATATATATATATATATATAGACCTTTCGAGATCATTCAGAAAACGTATGTGGAAAAATGCACGATCAATACTGCAGGCGTAATGAAATCAATTTCCTAACGGACCGTCTGACCTTACCACTATTCCTAGCCACCCGTAAGTAGACACTAACGCCTTGTAAATTTATATAAAATTAACCATTTTGCTGCTTAAAGGCGTCAGCTCAAAAAACAATTATGAATATAAAACTAGAACTGAGGAAATCATCAAGAAAATGTGTGCAGCAGGTATGAAAAACGCTTTTCTTATAGCGCCACACCACTCACATAACAATTCTTTTCCAGCGAAGCAATCGAATACGAAAATGAGAAGCGTGTATGAAAAACGCATTGGAAAATATGCAGAAAATCCCCGCCCCTGCATAAACGTGAGACGCATCAAGGTGGTGCGCGACCATAGTGATACAAAATATTTTCATTTACCACCGAATATCTACGAAACTGACAAGATACCGTTTGAGAAACGACGCGGGTTAGGCGGCGCTTACTGGCATAGATTGCCGACGAACAAGTTGTCATTAGGTAATAAACAAGTCACAAACAGACAGTTCTATAACATACCGCGTGATATTGATCGCTTGACAGATCGGCATAATCAATATAAAGGCAAATTTCGGACAGGTAAGTGGAAAAGGCATTCACAGTAGTATTTTAAAATAAAATATATATTTCTCAAATTTAGTGACACCGAAAAGTCACGGTAGAAAATGGCATTCGCAGAGCGATCTCGCCGAAAAACAAAGCGATATTGCATATAACTCTCCACCAAGCCGTCGTAATCTAAATTGGCACATAATATCTCAACACTAGTACGTATTCTCATTTATTAATATCTAAGAGACACTCTCAGACCTTCTTAAATATTTTATGTCTGGACTGCACTTATTTGGTTTTTAAGCTTTTGCTCCCACTTTCTCTCCTCAATCAGCACTCCACGGACAAATGCAGCTAAATCAAATCCACATTTATTTTTACAAAATTCCTGTGTACCAGAAAAACGAATGAGCTACATACCGCGTCATCAAGGCTTTCAGCCTGCCGTTGGTCGTTACGAGCTCGCCATACAACACGCCAGCAAACGAGTTCCTCACTCGAAGACCAAGAAGAAGCGCAGCAATTCACAAAACGTAACTAGCGATGTACGGCGACGTCTACTTCACTGGATGCTGGATGCAGCAACGCTCACACAAGCGCAACTATTTAAAGGCGAACAGCAAGCGCAGCTTAAAAGGGAATCCATATCGAGACGCGCACAAAAAGTAATGCCAGTCAAATTAGCAAATATTCGATATAACTCAATTATTCCGGAGCGGAGACTGAAAACTAATGCTGGCAGTACTAAGTCACCAGCTACACATGCAGCAACAGCAACCAAAAAATTGCAATTAAGCGGCAAAGAAGCGGTTGTACAAAAACAGTTTGTCGCTAAAACGGAGTACAAACGTAGCTTCAAATTTCGGCCACTTCCCTCGCCGAAAGTCTTGGCTACAAAGACAGAAATCTTCGCAAATTTATGCTCTGGTGAAACTCCGCGCTTTTATTTTAGTAAGCTTGATATCAATAAGTATCTGAAAAAGTCAACTGCAAATAAAACTCAAACCAAATAACCTAAAAAGCTTATTCGAAACTATTTAAAATACTTCTCAAAGGAATGGATTACTATAATATCTTAGTTTAGGATTTGTCGTAGTAATAACCATGGGGGGGTTTTAGTATTGCTTAACCTGATTTCTATTGAAAAGATCCGAGAAATTTCGCGAAATCAGAGCCAAGCTGATATATTTGCAGTCCTTCGTGTCCTAGAAAATATATTAACATACCTATTATATATATCCTTAGAGTAGCCTGTAGAAACCATTATTAAGGTCAACTAGAATATGTCAATTCCTCTTTCTAATCTCTTTCTTTATAAATTGCCCCCTATATGGAAATTTCTCTTTCTAATCTCTTTCTTTATAAATTGCCCCCTATATGGAAATTTTCCGCCTTATATGAATATTCGGCTTACTTTTTTCCAACGATTGAGTATTAGCAAGTGCCGTAACTGCCCAAGGGGACACTGTTTTCTTTCTGTGCTACGTCTGAGGCTGTTATCGTAACTAGAATTATTCTATACAAACCTTAATCTCGAAGACCTTAAGCCTACATAGTAATTACATGATTTCATGCGACCTGCATACGAAATTTTCAGCTTTTTCTTTGAGTCATTAAGAAACCTTCTATCTACTTGATCCAATTATAAAAATAAATCCACGAGTATGATAAATATCCAAAAGAATACCATTAACTTCAAAAGCGCTCAGAAATTTCTGCAACTAAAAATAATTAAAAATTTAACGAGAGCATTTTAAATATTAGTACGAGCATTACATATCTATGGTACATTACATATGTATATATGTCTATAAATATTAATAAGTGAGTAGAATTTTTTATGTGCATGTAAATATTTATATATGCCAACATATTACCAACATGTATCCAGAATCAGACTGCAGAACGCGTACTCCATGCGTGGCATATAAACGAGTTAACATTTCGCTGAAACGAAGAGAAAAAAAAAATGCATAAGTGAGGAATATAAGCGTATTTGAAAGAAGTAATTTTTAAAATACACAAAAAAGTAGCGTTTGGCACACAGAGCGCCACACCAACCGACGCTCGAGCAGCCGCAGGTGGATGCAAAATATGCAATGAAGACAGCTTACAAATTCAGCAAGTCTTCTATTTTGTAACCTACTTCAGAAAGTTTTCTAAAAAAAACTTAGCGTTCTACTAGCCTCCAAATGGCTGATGACTTTATGTGCGATAGACTTTTTCTTGTTGGAAAGACCATTGGAGTTACGATGATGCTGCCGAAAGACTGACTATCTTCTCTCGACAGCAGTTCATACATTCCGGATTTATATCAGACGAAAGACTAGCTTCTGAGCATTATTAACTAAAATTACTTTTGGAGTTTTTTGCCCGGCCACAGTGATAATAATAATGGGATTTATAAGCCACTCAGAGCGAACTATGACTGAGAGCCCAAAAAGTTAGCTATTTGGAAAAAGCTACAAAAAAAGTTTCGTGGATTCAATATGTACATGGTTTTGGTAAGATATTTTTCAGTTGAATCTATATCTAATAGCCCGATCAAAATACTACTAGCGGCGCTCACGAGTTAAATTGTATGCTCCATTTTCAGGTTTTACTTGCTAAGCGCCTAAAAGTATGCTTCTGATATTAAAGAAACTTAATATTTTATAATAAAAGGTTTTCCATTAGGTTGTTGACTGCGGTCTTAATAATTTCATTATAAAAAAGATTTTAAAGCTAATAATGTTTGAAGTTACTGCTTGGTGTGATTTACTGGATGGTATTTCTTTTCTTGTCTTTTATTTATAATCAAAAAGAGAAAAATTCGAGTGGTTCATTCACTATCTGCAGGTCTCTACCAAAGAAAAGTCGAGATAGGTTAGACTAGGTTAGTTCACACTGGCTGTCTGTCACGCCATACATAAACCTACATGTACTTTGTAATGCCAGATGGAGGTTCATTATTTATGTGAGCTGAAGTTTATGTCAGGACGTCAACACTTGAGTTGAATAGAGACTTGATATCTAATTCTTCATCCAGTCTCTTGAAGAAGCTAACACAACTCAGTAGACTACTTCAAATGAAGATGTCAGATTTTTGAAATGCAAACGCATATTTGAAAAAAACGTAATTTACCTCTAAAAAAACACCCTACATTTATAGCCAACCACCGCCGCCACCATTGCTGCCATGCTCGTCGAAAAAAATGATAATGTTTACATAATTCGCATAATCTCCGCTCACTGCAGCATTTTTCTACGCACCCACTTACACACACATTCCCTAACACTCATACACACACATATACACAGATATTCCCACATATCAGCGGCCAACAGCAACAACTGCGTTAAGTACGGCCGCCGACAACACGCGTTCTTAATAAAGATGAAACGGAATTCGTGATGTGCCTTTTATATTTTCGCAATTATCATAATATTTTCCACTTTTTTTGCAGCGAAAGGTAGCAGAAAGCAGGAATTTATATAAATATATGCATTTACATAAAAAGTGACTTGTCGGTTTTGCCACGCAGTGTAAAATATCCAACAAAAAGAGTGGAATTGTAACTGCAACATTAAAGTGCTGACACTTTTTGCCGACTCGCGTAGCACTTGTGATATATATTTATATATGTACATATGTCTCCATGTAAACCGTAAAGTACAGTTAGTTTTGCGGCTCAAACTAAATACCGCTTTTTGTAATATTTTATTTCGCGCGTTACTTCGGCAAAATGCTCACATTTAAATTAAAATGCCGACAAGTTTTTAAGCGATTTATTTCTTTTCCACTTAACGCTGGCAGATTCTATTATTAGACCTAGAATATTCATGTAGTTGGTATAAAGAATTTAACGTGGAAAAGTAACAAAGTGAATCGAGCTTTATTAATCCGGTTTTTTTTTTGAAGTACCTAAATATACATATGTATATTTGTTGTCTGAATTGATACAGATGTCTGTACTTTAAAGCGTCTGCAGAAGCTTGGTCTACTTCGAGCTCGATTTCCCTCCCAGTTATTGCAAGAGTAGACAGGTTCAGGCAAAGCATAGTATCCGAAAGCAGGTGATTATGCTTTCAAAACCTATCACGCCTGCGCTCTTGTATTCAATCTGAGTTCGAGAACAAAATAACCGATTTAACGGTTACTCGAAATTAGTTACATTTTGGAGCCTCATTAAATAAAATGTTTCAAATATTTAAAGTAAACACAGAGCTGCCTGAGCTCTTAATTATTGGTAGTAATATTAAAAAAGATATCTTTGAAAATTTGTATTGCTGTTGACTAGCTTCTTCTTTCTACTTTGTGCTATATATCTTGCCACTGTACTGTAAGTGGGAGATCTCACAAGATTGAAACGATCATAGAGTGATCATATACAAAGTTAAACGTTCTTCTATCATACGTGTTTTTTACGAATATTATGAAAAACACTTGCTATTTATCCCAATTTCGTTTCCTTCGGATCTTGAATATCCTAAAACCGTTTAAATAGCAATACAGCTTTGTTTACATATGTATATACTATGTTACCTACCAGCAAAGCGAAGACTCAATGTCAGTTAAATGCTGTTGCTTTCCAAAATACTTGTACACTTTGAAAGCCTTAGAGATGAGAAGATCTTAGAAGACGGCCTATGTTGGTATGCTTGTTCGAATCGTTGTATACAAAATCACCTCTACAACTTGCAATATTTTTGATTCCGACGATGCGGAAAGGTCAAAGAGGGTCTGCGGGTCCAGTCACTTCGGAAGGGTCGAACACTTGGGTTGAAGCAGTCTTTGTCTGTTATCTAAAGCACGATTGTATTATAGCGAACTTAAAAACATAACATCACTTGCGATATTTATGTTAATCAGCAATTGGCCATGGATTTCGCTAATAAAGAAATAAAGTGCCGCCAAGAAATGATAAATTTGTAACGCGAAAAGTCAGCAAGTTGAGTATTCCAGCACTTAATTAAAGTCATCTTCGTGCTCCTTCCGCCAACAACTGTCAATATTTGTGTCATTTTGCCGCTGTTCTTGTATAAATTATCGCATTGCTTTCGTGACTGTTGTTGTACTTGCAACATGCTGAAATGAGCATTACTTACAAGGCACAGAAAAAATTATTTACACTGAAACACTGAAGAAAATGTTTTAATTTGACCCCGCTCCCCGCATAGTGCTCACTTCCCGGCAAGCGCTGCAAACTGCGTTGCTGCTTTAACCCATTTTGCAGCGAAAAACAACAGCAGGAAACTAAAAACACGACAACAACTCGGGAAAGTAAAACGCAGATGAAGATGTTGACAATGCGAGTGCCGTCGTCGAGCTCGTCCTGCCTCGACTGCTATCCGTCCGTCCGCATTGTCGTAGTCGTCGTCGTCGTCGCTGTGGCCGCTGCATATGGAGAAGATGAGCGACAACACTATTGTATTGTAAGCAACGGCAGCCAGCAATGAGGCCAACAATGACAGCAGAATGAACAGCAACAAGCGTGCAACGGCGAATAGCGAACAGCGTATTTGCACAAATGAAGCGACAACGGAAAAATATGCGATTACATTTCTGATTTCTGTTTTGCTCACTTTTTTTCTGCTCAGCCGAAAAGAAAGCGCAATAACTGTGGTACTAGTAGAATGAAAACCTCAAAGTTTGTGGAACCTGCTGTTTTATGCCGCAAGTGTCGGGTCTGGGGGTAGGGAGAATATGAATGTCTATAAACAATGCACCCAGCGGTTGTTGCAACATGAGGCACATAATAAGTGCAGCTTACGTCACAACAGCAACAAAATAAAAGTAATAATAAAGTTCCGTTGCGCAGCATAAAAGTGTTGTTAATAGTTTAACAGTAAAAAAAGTCCACAACAAAACACTGGGCAGATACAGGCTGCCTCAAAATGCGTCCATATATCTCAGATGCTAGTGCGAGTATCCGAAACAGATATTAAAAACCACAAAGTTCTGCTTTATGAAACTCAGGGCTCTGTCCGAACTTACATACAGTCTGAAAAGATCGTTTTGCGAAGCAATAAATAATTGGTAATAA